ATATATATATATATATATATATATATATGTATATGAATGGATATTATTCCTAAGAAATTTCGGCATATGACCACTGTGCGTATATTTCATATATTATTTCCTCCTCTACGTGCACAATGTCGTTAATTAAGTCGGTTAGGCTTAATTTTTTTAGAAACAATTTAGTTTTTTGAAACAATTTTCACTTTTTTTCTTTTCCTTCTCTTTTTTTTTAAATAGGGAAGCAAAATAGTAAGATGCAAACGAATAAAAGTAATAGTGACAAACACGTTATCTAATTTACTGCCTCCGAAATAAAAGGATAATTCTTAAAGATCTGCTTAAGACATAAAGATGGATGAATTCTAAGCACTCGCAAGGACTAATAATTTCCAGTTACCCATCATCACTCACAAATAAATGACGGAGAGGTAGAGACTTTATTCATTAATTTCGAAACAGCTTCACACTTTTTTTTTGGGTGATATGAACAGCATGTTAGACAGTTCCAGGATTTCGTAAACTCGTAATGCAAAAGACATTTGAAAAACAAGGGATGACTGAAACTAAGAGTTATGTGGGTGAATAACTGCATATTCCCATCTCTTCAGATAACTTTTATTGATCGAGACTTCGGTAGCAGACAAACTGCTCGGAGATGCTGATGAAGCATCTGATCGGTGCAGATGCAGGGTTGTATATTTTAGGTCCATTTGTACGTCTTTTATAAAAGCTCCATCCGAAAGGGGACGTTCATATTTGTGTGGAACTTCTGCCACTATCTGGAAATAGCTCAGACCTATTTACTATCACATTTTAACTAAAGGTAACTTAAGCGCAAACAAGGAGATTTTAAGGAGGAAAGCTTCACTGATAATTCGAAAATTAAAAGCATGCTGTCAAATCACAATGGGAGTTAAAAAACCATATAAAATCAAAGAATATGTACTTAAAAGGAACAGACGGTTGACTTCGACCAACTTCACTTTAAGCTGAATATATATAGGCGGACAAACTGTAAGAATACAAAGTTTCCGCAGCAAATTAAAAATCAAAATGAGTGTTACGGACAACTGAAAATCTGTGCTAAAGTTCAAATTATGAAATACTGGAACAAAAGTGAAATTAAGGATTAGAAGTGACTGCAATTGTAATATTCTTGAAAAGGGTAAGATTTACAACTTTTCGAAAGAGCCTTTCGTGATTTCTGAAGATAATGAACTAATCTTGGATTCATTATTTCCACTCGAACTCTTTTCTTTGAGTGATACCCGCAACTATGACCTTCAAAAATGAAAGAAAAGCTAAGATGATTCACGAATGTAAAAGAATCCGTCCATACCTCGATTTTTTCTGATGTCTTCTCAGAAAAAATCGAATACACTTTTATTCTCGGAATTCTGCGCATAAATTTATGAGAACACGCCATATGTAAAGTAAAAATTAACAAGTGAAATAACTTACCGACTAGAACTACATAAAGCATTTAGCTCCAAAATTATCCAAACCAACAATTTGACGTTTCCATTGAATTTTTAGTGGTAAACGAAAAACTCCAAAATATATTTGTTATCATTCGTTGGCAGTAAATTCAATTTATTTCTTTGATTGAAGTAAAGAAAATTTCGAATTTGAGCAATTCTGATATCATTCTCTCTCTCTTTCGCTAAGAATTATACTTTAAGACTGAATGCATACATCCTTTTTTCTACGGATTTTCCAAATCATTTCGTACTTTTCGAACACTTTTGGTAGCCGAATATAACACCATCGAACAACCGATACCCAGGGAACTTGTTGTGCTTCAATCAAAGAAATAAATTGAATTTATTGCCAACGAATGATAAACAAATAACAAATATATTCTGATAACGACTTGAACTATTTATTAATGTTGTTGGATCAATTCTATTCTGTTTTACTTCTGAAACTGAAAACTTAATTGATAAACTAATGTATGCGACTATTCAAATTTTAAATCTGTCATATTGCTGTAAAATCTGTTTTCGATGAACACAATATAAGTAAAGTTGATAACTGAAGAACATGCACGTGAATGTTTCAACCTCCTACTGCTAATATTGTACTTTAAATTTGAATATTTGGTTTCAGTAGTCCACACTCTTGGACAATTTCTTTAAAATAGTGTTAAGTTATTGAACAGAAAATTTCTGTCCTAACCATCCCATCCTGCAAGATCATCAGCTTGCTGATTTCTCTGAAGAGGTCAACCTACTTTGTGACCTGAAAAGGATCTTTTCCTCTCCCTACATAAATTTCAAAATTTTGAAACGTTTCAATAAAATTTTTGGAAAGTAATGACAAATTAAGGATTCAGTCCGAACAGATATCCTCCATTGTTTATTTTTTTTTTTTTTGACAAATATTTTTTTCTAATAAATCTATCTCGAGAAGATTTTGATTTCTCTCAAGACTAAAATAATTCCGGATTTTCTAGTAAATTAAGAATTCCACTGTCTCAAATATATCTTGAGTCTTTATTTACATTTCGCTGGGTACTCCACTAGAAATCATCACTAAATGTTTTACATACACCATTTCAAGGTCCAAAACTACCGGCTCGTTGTCGCATCTTGCGTTTTTCGCATGTTCAGTGTATAGATCAGCTACCTTCATCCTCAAACTTTTCATTTAAAGATATAAAACAAAAAAAAAAATTCACTAACATTAAATTCTCTTACAGCAAATTCTCTATGAGATGAGAAAAAGCTCAAGCGAATTTCAAAGCACTCACTGCTACTAGATATATAAGATCATCCTTCAGCTAACGTATAGTTCAAATTCGCTAAAAAAGAGGCATTAATACTTCATTTTCATTCGAATCAAATTCCTTGATTAATTGATGCAAGATCCTAAATCCCAGCTTTTTCACACAAACTATAGCAGCACTTTATACAAATTTGTTATTATATCCTAAATATACGGTCTTTTTTAAAGCTGAGAATAAGAACATCGAAATCAGTCCAATCCCAGTCTAAGAAACATGACTTTACGGAGCTAATCAAAAGAAAAAGACCGACATGCAGAAGTGGACTAATAACTGCAATCCTGAACACAACCCATTTGAGCACATCATCCAAAACACCCGATTTTTCCTCGTATTGATTCCGTCCCACTTTCGTGTCTGTTAAAAAATATTAACAACTGCTAGGAGAGAAAGAACTTAATCAATCAAAGCCAAAAAAAAATCCTATATAAATCACCGTTACTACTACCAACTTCAATTTGAGCTCACAATTGTTTCACTTTCTGAGCATAGAATTTTAAGGTAAATTTTACCTTTTTATGTTCATTGATGGATCAATCACACCATTAATAGCCGGTAGTTTAAAGATTAACTGTTGAGGGAAATGTGAGCCCGAAAATCCAGGATCTGTTGTGGATAGTTTACGTCCAAAGGATCTGATGCTACAAAAAGTGAACCACGAGAAATGAATCTGACATTTTTTCTCTAATCAAAGGATCTTTTGCATACAGTGTAGTCATGACTTTAAAGAATGGTTTTTTAATAACTTGCTATTTTTAAAAAAAACTAAACATTAATACTTTCTTCACTTTTTTATGAATTGAGAAATATGGAGAAGAGAATTATAATAACGCAATTGTTTTCCTTTGTTCAATTCAAAACCACGGTTCTACTTTAGATAACCAAACGGATGATTAGTTTCACCTTGTAGCATCAGGAAATGCGCGTTGTCTATGTGTATGAAATCGTATTCGAGATGTGCCTGACTTCCAAAAGATCGTGCAGAAACATCAAATTTAAAAAAATACCTGAAAAAGTTCGTCAAAACAAGAACCTTTTATAAGTAACAAAGCCCGGAATATACTGGTTGCTTTGAAAAGAAATCTATACAGATTGTCAAATTCATATCGAAATTCCAATAATTCTTTAAATTCGTTCAAAATTAAATTCCTCGACTAGTACAAAAAAATGATGTCGAACAATGTGCAAGTGAATTTATGGCCCGTGACAGGTAACATATAACAGCTAATAAGAATCGTCGATTTCAAATTAACGTAAAAACGTATACTATGAAAAAAAAAAAAAATTATGAAAAATGGTCGAGAACCAAAAGACATAGAAATAAAAACCTAATATTCGACTTTGCACTTCCACCGAAACAGACAAATTCTCAATATGAAATTATAATTTCATAACGCTTAGGAGATACCTCTTCTTTCCTAAGAAAAATCTCTCATTCTTTATAACCAAATCTTCCACAGATTCTCCATCTCTAATCGATTCCACATCCTAAGCTACCTAAAAACATTAAGGAAATACTATAAGATGTAGAAAGCAAAACCTTTTCCCTGAAGAAGCAAAGAAATTTAGCTTACAAAGTATTCATCCCTGTATACAGACTTTGCCTAGTTTCACGGAGTTTGCTTGACGAGCTCCATCCGGAAAAATCAATATCTCAAACTAGAAATTGGATCCCATCTCAGATCGCATCAAAAATATTTAATTTTGGCTTTATAAGCGCTATACAGTCTTTCAGTTGGCATCATACTTCAAAAATAAGATCTCACATTCATTGCCACACTGCTAAAGGAAAATGTCATCCGAAATAAGCATAGCGCGGTCAAAACATTAAGATTTTACATACAGCGATGACAGACCCAAGGAAGAGTCCAAGTCATCGAACGTCACTCGCAATATTCACTTTATCATAAATTCTCCAGTCTTACGAAATATTTTAAGTATACGAAGTAGTAAAATGGGGAAACTGACATGCAGATGTACGCTACATGTTAAAGACAGGTCAAAATATGAAAAATACACCAACAAAGAAGCGATCAACTACTGTATCTCACCCGTCTCTCGCAAGTTCTGGAAATTCAAGCCGTCCAGAGACGAACTCATACAAATCCGCACGAAATTTTGATTTTGCAAAAATTTTTCCTTTTCAATTAAAAATTAAAAATTCATTTTTCAAAATTCATTTCGTTTCTTTTAATCCTACGATTAAATATGTCTAAAGATTAAACAGGAAACATAAATTTCAATTTCATACGGGCATATATCGGTTTATAAATCTGCGAATATAAAATTCATCCTAAACTAATATTTAAACTGTTACGATGAACTAAGAAAAGGAGAAAGAAAAATCCTAGTGGATATTTGATGCTACCACAAAGCTTAAGTCCTTCTGTACTTCAATTTCGTTGACAGTCTTGCGAGCGGAATTATGATAACCCATTATCTCCTCAAGTTCATTTTAATAACTGAATACATAGGGAAACTCATGAGACAATATTTCTTCAGTTAGGAATTGACACATCAGATTGTACTGATGCCGCTCGTAATTCAATGGATAACACCTTCTACTGACGAAGTAGGCTCAGTGAAATTAACAATTAATATATCTTTTTAAATGACCGGAAAATCGGTGAGAATAGCAGCTGTTTAACATGCACTGTGATCAATCCCTGCTTATCCCATTGCTAATTGTCAACTCAATGTTATAAACGTAACCAAAACGGCAGAGCACTCTTTTTTTTGCTTCCAGCACACTTACTACGACTGCTGAGTAAGTCCCGAAAGTCTGCTACCGAAAGAATAAACATCCTGCTTACTGAAACATGTGGTTTCCAAACAAGCTTACTGTAGCAAACTTATGAAGACTAATCAACAGACTTATTAGCCACAGAAAACATGCTTACAGACAGTTAATGGAAAGCAGTAGGCAGGACTTCAATTTGACAAGACTGTTCCACACAAAATCCAGAGTTTAAAAAAAAGGAAGCTTGAAAAGATTTGATCCCGCAAGTGTAATAAAATTAGCGTGAACAAACCGGAAGAAGGACAATCTAAATAACCCATCAAAAAACAGTTAACGCTCCCTTCCGTTGATGAAAAAGGTTTGGATTTAGGAAATCAAGAAGAATAAGCTGGATCAGAGAAGGAACATTTTCATCTTTTCTCCATTCCACTACTACTCTCTCGCTTTGTCCACCAAAAAATTTACACATTTTACTTGCTATAAAGCTTCATTTCTCCCTTTATGCTTTTGATGCTTTTAACAATGTTAAATGTAATTTCCTATTCTTTTAAATGAATAGTTCATTAGTGTGAAGATAAGGCCAAATGTTAGTTCCCTGTTTATTTGATCACATAGAGGTTCATGTTTACCTTTCCTATATTAGAAGATATTAATTTCTGGGATTATATGTGGTACAGAAGGATAGGAGATATCATCAGGTCGCGCAGCTATGGTGTCACGACTAAATGAACTTCCTTGGAAGTTCGGAATGTTTGTCTAGTGCAGGTGTTGGCAATAAATTTTTCCAGGAGGTTACATGAAAAATTGGAATGGTTTTCGAGAGCCTGACTAATATACTTAACTCAGTTCTATCCAATACCGTATCCGTCGTATACGTATATGTATATATATATATATATATATATATATATATATATATATATATATATATATATATATAT